TTCAGAAAGTAAAGTTTTTCAGTAACCGGACGTTTTTATTAAATTAAAACAACGGTTTTCTAAAGTAAAGTAACCATTTTTCACGGTAGCACCCCAAATCAGTTTCGCAAAGTAAAAATGTTTTAGTTTTCAACGACTTTGCGAATTATTGCGCAACTCTGATTATACAGTAAGGCGGGGTGTTACACAACGTATGGTGACAGTGGCTCTCAAGGATCTACCGTAGGCGGCAACAGGTCATAACATGGGCTGACTTCGAGAGAGAATTGCTCACACGATTTGGCACGTCCGATTACCATAACTATAATGAGGCCCTCGCACGAATCCGACAGACATGCAGTTTGCGTGAGTACATCAAGGAGTTTGAACGACTAGCCTGTCGCGTGCGAGATTGGTCTGAGGATGCGCTAGTAGGAGCCTTCGTAGGCGGGCTGAGAATCGATCTAGCCGCAGAAGTTCGACTAGAGCGACCGGGCACGATGCATAACGCCATGGAAGTGGCCCGTCGACGAGAAGACCATCCGGTCGCTACACGAAGGGGACGGGCGGATGTGCGATTTGCGGACTCGCGACGCATGGGACCGAGCCAAGCCACGGTCAGCGCACGGCCAAACGTCAGCAATCGGCCAGCAGGGTCGATAGTGCGACGGCTGTCCCCCGAGGAAGTTAAACGTCGACGTGAGAAAGGCTTATGTTTCAAGTGTGAGGAGAAGTTTACACCAGGTCATCAGTGTAAGCAAGCCTTTGTGATCGAAGTTGCTAATCCTGATGAGGAAGGATCGGATGACGAGGAGGAACCACATCAGGATATTGAAGTTGAGGGGCCTGACGAAGAAGCAGAAATCTCGATGCACGCAATGGCCAGGATTAGAGGACCTCGAACGATGCGATTGCTGGCCTGGGTCAAGGATCAGAAGGTGGTGGTGCTAGTAGACAACGGGTCATCACACAACTTCATCAATGCCGACTTGTCCCAGAAGCTGAACTTACCAGCCACGAATATTGAACCTTTTGAGGTACGAGTAGCCAATGGTGAGAGGCTGCAATGCACTAAATCCTTCCGAAAGGTGCCAATCAGGTTCAGCGGAGTTACAGTAAAGGCTGATCTCTATGCCTTACCGCTGGTTGGGCCGGATGTTGTCCTAGGTGTACAATGGCTTGAAGGGTTAGGCAAGGTGACCACCGACTATCGGACAGGAATTATGGAGTTCAACTCCGGAGATCAACAAGTCACTCTGAGTACTGGCAAGGAAAAAGGTACCAAGGAGGTAGGGCTTAAGAGCATTGAGAAAGTTTGGCGGGGTGGAGGCCAAATATTTGCAGTAGTGGTAGAGAAGACTGAGGCGCACATATATCAAGAGGAGCAACGGCAGCGAGATGTGCACGAGCTTCTCCAGGAATTTGAGGGAGTACTGGGCGAACCTAAGGGGCTACCCCCACACCGGGAGTTTGATCATTGCATACCACTGATCACGAGCAGCACGCCATACACATTCATCCTTATAGGTACGCTCACATTCAGAAAACTGAAATCGAACGGCAAGTGGCCGAGATGCTTGAATCAGGACTAATACAGCATAGCAAGAGTCTGTTTTCTTCTCCAGTCTTGTTAGTCAAAAAGAAAGATGGCACGTGGAGGTTTTGTACTGACTACCGAGCTCTGAACGCTGCAACCATCAAGGACCGATTTCCTATCCCGAGCGTCGATGACATGCTCGATGAGTTAGCCGGGTCACGCTATTTCTCAAAGCTCGATCTGAGAGCTGGTTACCATCAAATTCGACTCCATCAGGCTGACATTTTAAAGACAGCATTCCGTACGCACCAGGGGCACTATAAGTATCTGGTTATGCCATTTGAATTATGCAACGCCCCATCCACTTTCCAGTTCGCTATGAATTCTATCTTCAAGGAGTATCTACGTAAGTTCGTTCTGGTATTCTTTGATG